GTAGGGTGATGCTCTTCAGTGCAAAAGCCTGGTTTCTATTTTGACTTTTAGTAACTCCATGTTTGTTTGATTCTGGAAATTTGGAAAATACAGGGAATAAAGGAGGAAACTTGAGTCTTCCATAGCTCCACCACTAAAGATACTATTACTAATATTCCATAATATTTATTTTATATATATTTATTTTACAAATTCCAAACAATTAAGTATGTATGTAGTTTTGAATCTGTTCTTTTCACATAGCATTATATAATGAGATAGTGCCTATGTTACTAATTTTATCAAAACTATAATTTCAGTTGCAGCGCAGTATTTCTTTCCGTGCATATGACAGCATCTCTTAAACAGCTCACCTACTGTTGGACACTTAAGTTATTACGTATTCAATAATATAAATGACACTTTTCTGGGCATCCATGTAGCATACATCTTTATGTGCATATCTAATTAGTTCCCTAATAAATTCCAGGATGAAAAGGTGGAACTATTTCTACATATTATCATGTTATCCTACGAAAAGGTGGCCTTAGGTTCTACTCCACTAGTAGTGAAAAAATGCCCATTCATTTCAACACACCTGAGACAACATCCCATATTACTTTTCTAGAGCGGGGCAAAAGGTAGGTTTGCTTTGTTTTGCACGAGAGAATTATTTTAAGAAGACAAATTAAAAATTCAAGCTAAGATTTTAGTTCTAAAATGTGTGACAGAAAGTCTAGAGACACTAAGCCCCTAAACATACTTTTAGCTGTAGTGCTTTTTTCCGACTCTGAATTGTATAGAGTTAGTTTGAATAGCCTCTATAATGTTAAACCTTCAATTCAGAAAAAGGGGTTGGGATAAAATACTGAAACAATCTTACTTTAAAAATGAGGCCTCGATTTGTCATATTTTAAACTTCTAACAATGTTTTCCACCTTTGTAGGAAATGTGTGTGTAGTTTTGTGGTATGATTTTAAAATAGCTCTCCGTGACATGCTCACACTTGATTAATTTTTTAATTTATTCTTTTCCCTTGATACTTAAGCTCACATCTGTATATTCAGGAAGAGCAAAAGTTCTGCTCTCAAATGATTGACTTCTTTAATCAATTCAATTCAGGTTACTAATAGCACTGCGAAGTTAAACAGATGCCCGGTTGAAACTATGTTAAATTGAACACTGTCCTCTTCATTATCTGAATTTCATAGTCTGGAACATTTGCAGCAAGATGCTTCTATAAGTCAGGTAAACCCCCAAATTACAGGACTGGCAAGGACCTGAGAAATCACCACATCCAAACTTTTCATTTGATAGTTGAGGAAATGGAAACTGAGATTGGTGCAGGGACCTTTCTGGGTCACTCAGCTGTACAGTCACCCTTCACCTGGGTTTTTTGACTCTACAGCTGGCTCCGTCTCAGGCCGCGCTCCCCTTCCCCGGTCACCTGAGAGCAGGACCATTTAGTATTCTATTCTCAACTTGTAGCCTTTGTCTCTCATAAGAAGTATGTGTAAGAATCAAGTTCCTACTGGTTCCCTGATGATCCTTTCTAACTCCAGCTTCATTCAATTTGTGGTCTGAACTGACACATTGATAAGCCACAAAAATCGATTGCCTTTCGAGACCTAGAATAAGTTCATTTTGTAACACAGAAGCTGCGTGTTACCTCAGGTTCCAAATGAACTAAGCTTTGTCTTTAGCAGGCTGGTCTCAAGACTAAATACCTATGGAGGAAATACAGTGAGTGACACAGAACCACAGCATTATTCATAGAAAGTATTCTTTCGTGTGTTTTTCTTACCAGATATCTGTATGCCCTTGGACAGAAGGTTTGGAAAAGATGGAAAAAACGTTACTTTGTTCTTGTTCAGGTTAGTAAATTTTTTCCCTGTTACTTAATTAAGACAGCGGTTCTCAAACTTTTGCCTATGCGGGTTATGTCTATCCATATTCGCTGTATAAGAATTCAAAACTGGAAAAATTATTAAATATTTAATTCATTTTAAAATAACAGTAGTAAACCCGTTACGTGCTAACAACACACGTAACATTTTTATGTAGCATAACTATTTTCCACACCAAACAATTTAGTGAAATGAGTGGCATGATTTTATACTTTTTGCACATCTCTTTAGTGTTGGCTTAATAGAATGCAGCTGTATTTTCATATAAGCTCCTACTTTCAGTCTGTTACAATCTCAGATGAAATTTAGCCTCTGGAAACCTCCACCGTACGTGCATGAGAGAATAACTGTGAAAAAGGAAGATGATGTCTGAATCTTATTATAAAAATAATGTTGACCTCGCAGGTCCCCTGAAAAAAATCTTGAAGAAATTCAGGATTATAGGACCCTAGCTTTAGAACCACTGCGTCATTCTGATAGTTCAGAGATAAACCATAATGCATAGAAGCACTCATTTTTATACAAACATGCCATATACATCACTTATTCACATAATGATGTCTGTAAAACACCTTGACTGGTCCATTTGTTTTTCATAGGATTCTGAATGTAGACAAATTACTAGGATACGCAGTTTGTCTGACTCTGTTTTGGGAAGGAGGGGGTGTTTTTTTGTTCTTTCAGAATCATGGATAACCTTTGCTCATAGAATATACTCATTCAGTTAAATTTACATTAAAGAATCACTTTCTATTCTATGATAAATTTAAGCTGTTTTATTCCCAATGAAATATATGGAAAGAGGCTCTCTCGGAATTCTTAACAGAATACATCCTGTAAAATCGCACTGATTCCTACCCACACATTAAAGAAGCTTAAAATGGACTAAACCGGAATGACACAGTGAAACACCAAGAATAGAAAACTGTCATTTACTGTCTTCCAGAAAAGTAGGCATCTGTCAATTGTTGGATAAATAATGCGCCATCATGGCATGAAAATTTCATGAAATGTATAAAAATTTAGTCAAAGGTAGTTTTATCTCCATGGCAAACAGCCAACCTCTTTTTTTCGTGGCAAAACTGTAACCTTCCCTTATAGGATTAGAACCAATATTTGATCAACTAATTTACTAGAAGATACACACACACGTGCATCTTTTGATAAGAAGCCCAAGCACTCGCTTTGAGTAAGGGCCCCTGTTTGGAGTTCTGGGTGGTCTGTCTTCCAGAAACCTCACCTCTGGGGCGTCTTCTTTGATTTCCAGGTTTAATGTCTTCACATTGGCAAAGGAACTTAAATGCATTTACCAAACTGAGTGCAGGGCTTCCTGGACACATTGATTGTATTCTCTTCTATAGATGCCTTGCTCACATTTATTTGACAAGTTCGTGTGAGTGACTTATCACTATCAAGTCTTTCTAAAACATTCAACTGATTTTTCATAGAAGCATCAGCTTCTTATACACAGTCATTCATGCGTTTATATAGAATCTGATTTAATTCCATAATTTCAATAGTTTATGTTACCTGCATGAACAATCCTAGATGACTCTTACTAAGCATAGAGTTTTACGAATAAGTCATTATGCTTTTTAAAATTTTTCCCTTTTTAATGAATTCATTCTTTTTTAAGAGCAGTTTTAGGTTCAAAATTGAAAGGCAAGTACATTTTCCCCATTTATCCCCTCCACCCACACGAGCATCGCCTCTCTGGGTCCATGTGTCACCAGGGATGAACCAACACTGACACATCCTAGTCCTCCTAAGTCTGTAGCTTACATTAGGGTTCGCTCCTGGTGTTGTGCATCCTATGTATTTGGACAAACATATAATGACGTGTCTCCATCATTGTCATATTATACAGATTATTTTCATTGCCCTAAAGCTACTCTGCGCTCTGACTATTCATCTCCCTCCCCTACCCCCAGCAACCACTGATCTTTTTACTGTCTCCATCGTTTTGCCTTTTCCAGAATGTCATATAATAGGAATCGTACAGTATATAGCCTTTTCAGATTGGCTTGTTTTACTTAGTAATGTGCAGGTAAGGTTTTTCCGTGGCTTGAAAGCTCTTTTTTTTTTTTTAAGCACTGAATAATATTTCATTGGAGGAATCACAGTTTGTTTATTGATTCATCTCCTGAAGCATCTTGGTTGCTTCCAAGTTTGGGCAGTTATGAATAAAGCTGCTATAAATATCTGTGTGGAGATGAGGTTTCAGCTCCTTTCTGTGAAAACCAAGGCATACAATTGATGGGTCATATTCATCACGTTTTAAAGAATGAATCAGAGAGTGTTCATTGGGGTAGAGATCTGGTTAAGTGACAGTGGGCTAACAGTCTTTCTAATGGTCGTTTTAATGAAAATGAGGCTTTATTAGATCAGTCTTTAGAGGTCAAATTGATCACCGGATGCTTTTGGCAGATGAGGGTCAAGGTAATTGTCTACTTGATTTTCTAGCATTTGATCACAAGAATCAAAAGCTACAGGACAAACTAATATACTTTGATTATCACCCCTAAGAGGGTTTAGAAATGAAAGAAAAATTCAAATACTTTTAGATCATTGATTGATATGTCTTTGAGGAACATTAACCATGTCTTTGGGTTGCTAGAAAGTTCTCCTGGGAGCGAAAATACATTTAGCATTTTATAAGGCAAAATTCAGTTTAAACCAAAGTAGGTAAACCCATGTACTCCAGAATTAAAATTTGGGAAAAACACCTCCAAACCATGAGGAATTCAGAGTTATTCTGCCGGAGGCATCATCATAAAATCTGAGGTTATGTTTAAGCATTATATCTTTACACAGACATATGGACATACATGTACTCGCACAGGGCATCCGATGCCCAAATGTCCTGAGGTAGAAATCCCAGTACTTGGCATCTTCTCCAAGTTTTAAATACAGTTGAACCTTCCTTTTGATTCCAAATGTATTGGGAAGACACACTGAATGCACACTCTTCAAAATCAAGATGGATATCTATAGAGATTGAACAAGAACGACTCGTTGGGAGAAACCAGGTAGATTTGATTCGTATTTTTAAAGCTCGCTCTCATTCTGTCAGCACACAGCTCGTAGGACCGTACCTGCAGGCTGTATTACCGAAAGGTGAAGGAGTCATTTTTACAGGGAGGACAGTGTCCCCCTGCTGTGTCGCTGCTGCCGTCAGCAGAATGGTGCTCTGGCGATAATGTGAATCTCATCACCACTTGTGAGTGTGTCTTGTATGAGTGAGATAGCTGGACACCAGCCATCAGCCCAAGAATTTGTACTCATAAAAATTGATCGAGCGTCAGGTTTGGCTGCTGCAAACCCATTGTTCACAGTGAAGGCTTGAGGAGCTGCTGAGGTGACAAGACTTTTCCGAGATGCTCACATAAACATGAAAATCAGAGTTGAAAGTGGGGAAATGAATTATTTGTTAATGTGGGCTGTTTATTTAGCTTCTAAGTAAAATTAGTTTTGGTCCCCATTTAGATTTTGAAGCCAGTCTAGTTCCAGTATTAGATTGTCATTTTTTTTTAAGAGGCTGCATTTTTTTCATGAAGGTCAATTTTGGTTCATACCAAATTGAAAGAACAATAACTTAGAAGAATATGTTTGAAATCTTACTGAAATTAAACTTATATATGTTTCTTATTCATTTTTCTTATGCTTATTTAGCGTTTTATAGTAGTATTAGATTTGGAGGCTGTCGTTGAGACAAAGTACTTATGATACTAATATATTTTAGTTCATTGTAATAAAACCATGTAATAGCTTTAAAATTATCTTTATATTTATGATTTAACCAAACTGAATTATTTCATAATTCTGTATTCTGCCAATGTCCCTAGGCATTGAATATTCTGTGGTAAATCCAAAAATTCCTTGAAGCACTCATCTACTAATGTAACCAGTGCTGTGTTTCATCTGATATTTATTAAGCAGCTCTGTAGGCATTTATGTTAAGTACTTTTAACACATTATTGACTCCTCAGAATAAGGTATGTTTGAGGTTAGATATTATTATTCCCATTGCACAGATAAAATTGATGTATAAAGGGGTTATATCATTTACCCAGGATTATACAGTCAGTATGTGGATGCGTCAAGGGGTCCAATCCAGTTCTGTCGACTCTAGAGATTAAGCTCTTATTTCCTCTGTCATAATGCTGTGATTACATTGATGCACATAGCTGCAGTTGATCTAAGATGAACAGATACATGAATAATCACTGTGGATCATTATTTCATGAGGTACAAAGCAGTCTTACTACATTAAAGAAACAGCCAGTGTGTGATGGCATAAAAAGTCCCGCGCCTCACGGAGGCCACTTACTGCATGACATCACTGAAAACAGAAGTAGATGTCTGTGTTGTTTTGGCCCTGTATCAAAGTGTTCACTGCTTGTTGTCGATGTGTCAGAATCATGACTCGAAGTTGCTGCAAACAACAGCAGGCTATCAAGACGTAATGTTAATTACCTATCAGCTGAGTTGGCAGAAGATGTAAACAGGCAGCCATGCCACTGAGTGATCTAATGTGCTGCAAACATAGGAGGAGCACTCTGTTAGTGAGATGCTATCAAAAGGTGCTTTAAACTTCAAGAAGTGGCTGCCCCCACCTGTTGGCCTCTGAAATACTCAGCACACATGGAGATCCAGTGCTGCAGGCTGCTGTCAGGTATCTGAGAATGCCACTGCTGCATGAAAGCATATGGTGTAGGCTTAGTCCTAGGACATCAGCTGACGTATGCTTATAGTACTGTGAGGTGAACAAATATACTGCTTCAGACCCAGAATGCCAGATAGTGACTCGCTAGCTTTCTATTTTAAATTTACTTCAAATTTACAATCCCAGGACCTGCTCAGTGTAGGATAAAATTAAACCATACAGAAATAGTTATGGTCAAAAATGGGAGGCCCCCGCCTGTACCCATCCCAGCATCGCCTCCTTATTCTGTTCTCCTTCCCAG